GGATCTATATACTTAGTTATTAGATAAAGTCTATTACTAGTCTTTAGTTATATATCTAGGTATTAAAAAGATAAAAAAGCTAGTCTCTATCTATTATTACTAGCCTAGATAGGCTAATAATATATAATAATATATAGATAACTATTTAGTATATAAAAGAATAAAGTTATAGAGGGATAAGATATCTAGATTTCTTTATCTTTTACTTATCCCCGATTAACTCTAGTAGTATATTTTAATAGATTTTAGATCGTTTCTAAAGGATTAATATAGCTTTAACGTAGTATTTATAGTCGTAGACTATCTAAGTAAGCGACTAATCTCAATTCTTTATTATAAAGATATAAATATATAGTAGATAGCCTAACTCTTTATAGATTATATTATTTATATTTTAGGAATACCGGAGACTATTATATCGGATTAAGATAGATAGTTTATCTCTAAGTTCTAGATAGAGTTCTATTAAATACTAAGAATTAAGAGAAAACTATTAACTATATACTATCCCTAAACTAATAGCTAAAGTAAGATCGTAAATTAGTATATAGCTTAGTATCTTTATCTATATATAGAACTAAATTAAGATAATTAGTTAGAGATTTTACCTATAATTAACTTTATAGTATCTATTCTACTATAAGATACTATTAAGAAATCTCCTTTCTTTATAGAGAGAGGGTATAAGCCTATAATAACCTTTAACTAGAAAGATCCTAAGTATATCTCCGCTAATAAATAAGATATAGTAGATATACTCTTATAACTATAAAATATATAATCTAAGACGAAGAAGTAGATTAATAAGTCCTAGAAACTCTAGATCTAATAAGTAAATAAATATTATTAGGAAAAGGATTTCGGGGTAGGAGATTAAATTTTTATTACGATAAAGGATTAGTTACCTAATAGACTAAGTTAGAAGTTATCTTACTCTATAAGTAGACTATATATAATTATAAAGAAGGTTAGGAATTTATATAAGTTAGATCTCCTAGGATCGATAAAGATATACCCTATTTTCTATCCTAGTAAACTATATAAAACGTCGAAAACTAAGCTACTACGAAGGTAATATAAAGATCTAACACTACCTATTATAATAAATAAAACTAATAAATAGAAAGTTAGTAAGATCTTAGATACTCGTACGTATTATAGGAAGCTTTAGTACTAAGTAGAGTAGGTAGGATATAATATAGACTTATAGTGGTATTTAGTAGGTAATCTAAAAAACGTACCGGAAAAGGTTAAGGAATTCTATAAAAAATATCCTATAAAGCCCGGACCCCTAGTACGTTTACACTACTAGATTAAAGCTATAGAAGGCGAGAAGTTATTATAGGATTATAAAGATAACGATAAGCTAGTATTTAGAGACTAAATATAATTTAGATAAAGGAGTATATAACGATCGTGGATAGGAAACTAAGTTACGTGACTATAGCTATCGCAGAGTGGGTCTAAGGTTTATGAAGTTTATAACTCAAAGACTCTCTAAAACTCGGCGATAGTAAGTTTCCTTTTCCTCTTTTCCCTTCCTTCTCTATCTTAGTATTTTCGTTGAATTACACTCTTTCATTAAAGATCTGGCTTGTAATATACGTTAGAATTTAACGTACTTAATACTTTAACGTACTAATCGCTTAAATATAATATTTAAACGATATTATACTATTTATAATTAGCCCTAATTCTAGCTTAGTATATAAGAATAGTAATAAGTTAAATACCTTCTCTATATTATAAAGCCTTTCTATATATAGATAGTTAGTCTATCTAAGGTAAAGGATATTACTATTTATTATATATTCGAAGTATATAATCGACTCTTTAAATATTTTAAAGATTCTTAATAATACTTAATCCGAAAGAAAGTCCCTTAGAAGAAAGTAATATTTCGTACTTTATAAGCTAGAAAGTAAAAGCTTATAGCTTATTATATAGCTATAGAGTAAGCTTATAGGTATCTTTATATAATAGGTATAATCCTTACCCCTGTTACAACCTAATATATAGAGTATAAATATGGTACGCATATCTTGTAGCACATATCGGGTATTTAGGTTGGTAACCTGACATGACGACTAGTTAGTCGTCATAGTGGCTCTTTTAGTAAACGCTCTACCTTACCATTACTTCCTACGTTTTACAGTGGTGTCAGGCCCACTTGCCTTAACAATATGACGACTAACTTCGGAGACCCTAGGTTCGAGACATACAGATATCGAATTCGAATCTACGGTCTTTATAAGGAATATCATAGAGAGATCCAGATATACACTTAGGGGTCTACAACTTAAAATACACACACCGATATCTTACTAGCACGGTATCTATACCGTTCAAGCTACCTATAGATATTCTATGCCTCGGGGTCAAGGCATCAGAAAGAGGGGAGATAATGTTACAACCTAACATACGGAGTATGAATATAGTGCGCATATCTTATAGCACATATCGGGTATTTAGGTTAGTAACCTGACATGACGACTAGTTAGTCGTCATAGTGGCTCTTTTGGTAAACGCTCTACCTTACCATTACTTCCTACGTTTTGCAGTGGTGTCAGGCCCACTTGCCTTAACAACCCCGATATATAAGCTAGATTACTTTAAAGGACTAGATTAGGCTAGTAATAATATAGATTAGTATTCTATATATAAAAGCTCTTTATATTCCTATCTTAAACGATACTTTAAGTATAACCCTTTAAGTTAATTAATAGAGAAAGATAAAGCTCCTTAACGAAGTAGAAGTATAGTAAGTTTACTTATATAAATAAGGCTAAAACTAGCTATCTAAGAGAAGATTAGATAGCGAGATAAGCTTATAAGTTATCTAAATCTTTATATATATATCTTTTTTTAATAAAGTAATATACTAATAAATTAAAGGGACGATAATAAGGATCTATATTAATTCTAGAAAGAGTATAAATTATAATTTCTAATACTCGCTACCCTTACTCGAGATATTTTCTCTATTTCTACTACTAATATAGGTATAAAGCGCTTATTTAGCTCTATCTATAATATCTACTATTATCGATATAGGTTATTAAATACTACGATAATCTAAGATCTTATAATACTTCGCTATATAATATAGTTTAATATAAACTATACTAAGAACTAACTATCTATATAGAGCGAGGATCCGATTAAAAGAATAGAAGCTAATAAAGAGGTTAAGAGCTAATTACCTAACTATAAGGTTATTACTATTAGTGATAATAAAGGAGATATTAAAGATAATAGTAAAGAAGATATTAAGGTTAATATTAATAATATAAATAAGTAGGACGAAAGTGTTAGTTATAAATTAGATCTACTAGATAAGAATGAAGAATAGGCTAAGGAAAATAACTTAGTTAAGCTCCCACTATAGCCGGTGGTAAGGGTTTTATAAAGTGAGAGCTAGCGACCTTAACGAGAGCGTAAGCGTCGATACGACGAGAGCGAATATAAGTATAGTATATAGTCGAAGCGTAAAAAATAATTTAAGCTACACTTATAAACAAATCCAATGAGCGTAATACTTAGTCAAAAATCCTGATTCCTCCCTCTCATTTTAAATTACAAATAGAATATATGAAAATATAGGAATTTTCTACATAACTTATGTATATCACGGGATTGAGAATGTTTACACTATATACAGTGCTATAGCACTACTGCGTTAGTGCTACAGTACTAGACTAGGCACTTGGTACCGTCGCACCCCGGTGCTATAGAACCGGACCAAGGGGTCTAGTACTGCCGCAGCACTGGTGCCGTAGCACTTATTAAGGCCTAGGCTCGGGTGCGAGAGTTTTCCGGATATAAATAAGGGTTCGGGTATTATAAGATTGCTAGTTATTAAGCTCATTTTCGTACTTTTTCCGAAGTGTCTTATTAATTTCCTTAATCTCCTTTATTCTTTCTCGGATATCCGTAGCGGTGATCGTAATATTATCGTTACGTTATACCTATACCTCCCGTGCTTCCGCGAGTAAAGCCTATTCTATAGCCTATCGAGAGACTTCGAAGTAGTTAGGTTTACTTAGGAAGAGAATACTATAAGAGATTATCCTAGTATAGTATCTATTATTAGTAAGAAGGGCTAGATATATAGCTATCTTCTAATCTCTATAGTTAGACTATCCTTTTAGTTTCGGTACTAAATCTATATAGTTAATCTTATATTAACTAATAGCGAAGTCCCTAATATTAAAGGACTCCGATATATTAGCAGTCTATATAGGATTCGGTAGTTAATAAGAAGGTCGAATAGCTAATAAGATACGGCGGTTAATAGAAGTCGAACGGCTAATAAGGTTATATAGCGGTTAATAGAAGAGTCGAACGGCTAATAAGGTCTATTTAGCGGTTAATAGAGAAGTCGAACGGCTAATTAGGTTATATAGCGGTTAATAGAAGAGTCGAACGGCTAATAAGGTCTATTTAGCGGTTAATAGAGAAGTCGAACGGCTAATCAGATGATAGGATCCTATATTCTACCTAGGTATTCGGATACTAGAGAGAAATTAGGATGACTATATAGGGTATGTTAGGTAGGTAGGTAGGGTAGGGTGTTATTAGGGTGACTAGTGAAAAGTCTATAAAAACACCCTATAGTGGGTCGGTGCGACGTAGCACTAGGTTCTCGTCGGAGGAATCAGAAGATGCGAAGCTTACAGTTATGTAGAGGCTCCGACAGCAAAGGACTCATAACCTGATAGAGAGATGATCCTATACGACTACTCATAAGAAGGAGTGGACTGGAAAATCTTGTATTGTGCGTAGAGAGAGAAAGGAAGAATAGGGAAAGCTAGCTAGACTAATGTACTAGGAGATCACGTGTTCGCAACAACTTGAAAAATCCCGCCGTCAATAATCTCGCACGCGGTCCTCGAGTCCTCGCTGCTATTTTCCAAGCCGCATCGTCGCGTCATACGGGTACATCAACTTTCAACTTGGCTGATGTGAGCCCAGCCGTCCAATTCAGCTTGGTGGTCATGATGTATATTGCGATTTTTCCGATTGCCATTTGCATCAGAGCTTCCAATGTTTATGAAGAAAGAACGCTGGGTGTATATACCACTGACGGTAACATCGACGAGTATAACGGCCGGTCTTACATTGTCAATCATATTCAGAACCCACTGACCTTTGACTTGTGGTACATTTTCCTCGGCAGCTTTTGCATCTGCGTCGCCGAGGCCGGCAAGATCGCAGATACGTCAATTTCAGTAAGTGATTGGTCTCAAATTTCGCGATACTAAAATTCAACCAATTCAGGCCTTTTCTGTATTTTCTGTGTTATTCGAAGTTGTCTCGGCATAGTGAGTTATCCATGCGGTATTTACTCCTTTTGCCTTGACTGATTTCGATGAAGTGGCAACGTTGGACTTAGTCTTGGGTATCCAACTGTTTCTATGTCTCTATCTGGAAAGTTCACCGTTTTCAGCAAGCTTGTCGTTTGTGTGATGATGATCCGAGGCCGTCACCGCGGACTGCCCTACAAGCTCGACCGTGCCATTGTTCTCCCAGGCGAACGCCTAGAAGAAGATCACCCAGATAGGGATAAGGCTCAAACCAAGTTTGACTGAAGGAAGTCTCATAAGTCTTGCTCCCAAATTTCTGTATGACAATGTTGTGTTATTATAACAATGTTGTAATAGGAATCTTTCGACTAATATATAAGAATTTGGAACAGATAAAGAGATTGAAGTTGGCTTCATTTGGGACGAGGATACGACGCGCTCGAATGTACATCTCATCCACACGGAAGAGCGGAAGTAAAAAAATGAGCAAAGGGACGACCGGCCCGTGTCTAGCCTTCGCTGTGTCAGTCGAAGAGACTTAAAAAAGATTGATATAGATTTATTTGAGAGTATTGGTATATAACATCAAATGTGTTCTAACATGACAATAATGGTTCCAGGGAACTAGGCTTATGGCCCGAGAGGGTTGAAGGCCAAATCGCATTGTTACGGACATGCTAGTCACCAATCACATGTGGGGACCTCAACTGCTGACGGGCCGTTGAGAACCAATTGATTAATCTGTCGTCCAGGTCACGTGCGACATCCTATACCCAGGCACTCCCGGGCTTTAGGGAAAAGAGAAACCACGATCATGCTCAGTGAGCAAGAGCATGATCCGCCCTGACCAAGACTCACCGACAGGAGCCTTCCAGTATGTACGTACCAAATTTTCTCTGGCGGATGGGGATTTCCTACTTGGGATGCCGCCGCTTTAATGAGGGCGCTCAGACTCAGGCTCACTGGTAGATATCAGCACGAGCTCAGAGTCAGTGATGAGCTCAATGTGTTTCCGAGCAGTCGTGGGGCTTTGACGAGTGAGAGGAAGTGAGGCACTAACTAACAACTCTGATTATGTGGCATGCCAGCCCTACATATCACTGCTTCAGATTCCCTCTCTTCTAAGGCTACCCACCCCCTTATATCAATCATTTCTATGATTTACCCACTGCAAGTTCTCTCCTCTTACTTATTTGTATTCTTAGTAAAGTTCCAGAAATGAAGTTTGATCGAACCAAGTACATATTTGGCGCATGAGAAAACAACCCCTGGGGGCAATGCACTCCTTGAGCCCAACCTGCCCACAATCCGTTGCAATACCTCCTCCAGAATTTCCCTTCTCCTCCACACACCCGCAATCACCATAAAATGATGTTCCGTTTTCCAGTAAGTGGTTTCCCATGATACGTGCGTGCTAAGACAGTGCTTGTTCCCCAGCCCCGGTTGATGTCGGGCCAAGGAAAGCATATGTTAGGGCTGCTCGGGGATCTGTTCCAAGGGGGTCAAGTGCGGGCTCTTTCTCGCTCTGCGACGAAAGAAGACTCGCTTAGCCCATTTCCAGGCTTCGACTCCGATAAAGAACAGGACAGCCTCGACCGCCACGATACCCCATTCCCAGGTGATAGGTTTATGTTTGAAGACGACATCGTTCAAAACAGGGATGTAGAGAATAGGGAACATGGTGATCCATCCGGCCATGATGGACCAGAAGAGGAACTTGTTCCGCCAGACGTCGTACGTCCATTGAGTAAAGTATTTCTTGGATTTTGGCTGCATGCGGAAGAACGAGCGGCGCAAGTTGACCATTTCCCAAGCCAGGAACAGTGCAAACCATGTCAAGCACACGAACGTGGTGGCACGTGCTCGGAAGACTAGTTCGCAGTCTTTGATCTCTTCCGACCATTCCTTGTTGCAGCCACGGGCCAGGTTACCGTCGCCGAATCCCCACATGCGGACAGAGAATGCCGACAGGCAGAGGGCTGCGGTCCAGATACCATAAACCAGAATGTCAATGATCACCTCCCAGGTGAATATGCCCTGCTTACTCTGAGGAGGACGGTTCATGATGTCAGGTGCAGCCACCTCCATTCCAAGGCCCATGTCGGGCATACCCGACGTGATCATGATAATCCAGAGAATTTCGACCGGCGACAGAGGGAAGACGGATTGGTTATCAGCGTCTTTGAAAGCCAATCCGATAAGCAAGGTACATGCTTGAGCGATGTTTTCCGACAACAGATGAAGCACAAACTTCTGAATATTATCGAAGATACGACGACCTTCTTCGACGGCATTCAGAATCGAGGCGAAGTTGTCATCCGTGAGGATGATATCAGACGCGTCTTTAGCCACGTCTGAACCTGCCTGTCCCATAGCGATACCAACATCGGCGTGCTTCAGCGACGGAGAATCATTCACTCCATCTCCAGTCATAGCTGCAAACCGGCCACGGCGGTGAAGAGCGTCAATCATACGGACCTTGGTCTGCGGGGCGCAGCGTGCAATAACCAAAGGCAGAGTCGGAAGCGCATCTACCTCTTCATCAGTGAGTTTATCGAATTGACTAGCAGTCATAATCATAGCGTCCGCGACGTCGGCCGCCACCGCATTGAAATCAGCAGGAAGTATTCCCACTTGCTGAGCAATTGCTTTGGCAGTGCCAGGATGATCGCCAGTGACCATGTGGACAACAATACCAGCCTGGTAGCAGGCTTGGATTGAGCCAGCTGTCTCAGGGCGCGGAGGATCATACAAGCCGATAAGTCCTAGGAAGCACAGATTGCTCTCCACGTCTTCACGGTTCAGGTCGGCATCTTCGAGCAATTGTGCCTCGGCGGTGTACGGGCGATGGGCTAGAGCCAAAACCCGAAGTCCGAGTTTGGTGAGCTCCTCCATGTTCTCGATGATCTTTTCGCGGTGGTGGGAGGTTATTGGCACGGGGCTAGAAGAATCTTGGTCCCAGATAATAGACGTGCACGAGTCTGCGATGCGCTCGACCGCACCCTTGGTCAACACCATAGTCCGGTTCTCCTCTGCGGTGATTTTGTTGAAAATCACAGACATCTTCTTCACTGTCGAGTCGAATGGGAATTCGGCTTTTTGGTGCCACACTGTACCCTCACCCTGACCCTTCTTAATCCAGCGGTCGCGGTTCCAGTTGAATCTCGATGCAAAGACATGGATAGCAATTTCAGTGGGTTCACCCCGTGCATTCCATTCGCCTTCTTCGGACTTATACACGTGAGAGAGATTGGCCATCGAGGCAACATCCAGGAAGTCTTCGAGCTGGCGGTTTCCTGAGACCATACCTTCTGCATTCTCCGTCATATCTGGCTTCTCATAATCAAATTCCGAAGGAGGCACAGGTTTGAAGCTGACCTCTCCAACGGTGGGATTGAAAGGCTCGTTAGATGGGCCGACGGAGTACGTTCCTCGAGATGGGATCCATGCCTTTTGGACAACCATTTTACCTTGAGTCAACGTACCGGTCTTGTCGGAACATATATCTGTGACGGCACCGAGCGCCTCCAGCGAGTCCAATTTGCGAACAATCACGTTCCGCTCGACCATACGTTTAGTACCCACTGCCATAGTGATGGTAAGAACGACGACCAGGCACGCCGGAATCATACTGATACCGGTTGCGACAGCGTACATGATGACTTCGTTATTGCTGCTGAATTCGTTTGCAGCCATACAGACAATGGCAAACACGACAGCAATTCCGAATAGTAGACAGGCCAGCTTTGAGAGCTTCCTCTGCAAGGGTGTTCCGATATTGACACCGAGGAATCGACCGACGACATCCACGGAGGTAAGACTCCAGGCCTGGACGTACCAACGCTTCTTGGTTTCGCCGTTAGGGCCACGCCTGACCTGACGACGCTTGTTGCCGCTGGCCCGTAGTGCGAGGGCGATAGATCCGATTTCAGTGAACATGCCTGTACTAACAACCACACCACGACCACGACCACGAGTGACGGTGCTAGAACTGTAGGCAATGTTAAGGCGGTCTCCAGGGCCAGTATCCTCCTTGAATGTCGAGTCGCATTCCTTCTGGACGGGAAGAGACTCGCCAGTCAGGAGAGCCTCGTCGGTCTCGAAGTTGACTGCTTCAACCAGGCTGATATGTGTTAGCAAATCGTCCGACAACTGTCTTAGTGGCTTGGAATCGCAGTTACACGATGATAGGAAACTCACCGAATATCCGCTGGGACAGTATCTCCCGTCCTAAGCTCGACCATGTCACCGGGGACGATGTCCGACGACGGCACCGAGAATGTCTGTCCACCCCTCGACACAGTTCCGGTCGGGGATGAGAGCGAATGTAACGACTCCATAGTTTTCTCGGCGGCATATTCCTGGAAAAATCCAACGACGATATTCAAGACAATGACAGCGCAGATGACTCCGCCCTCAATCCACGACCGAATTCCGAAGCTGACCGCCATAGCCAGAATCAACACCTATCACCCACTGTATTAGATTGAGCCTGAGAGACTTTCGCGATATAAACACGAATAATAGATAGAGGGGTCTTACTAGCATCATTGCGTTGGCAACCTGGCGCACGAAAATCTTGATCACCGACAAGCCTTCGCCTTCGTCCAGTTTGTTGGGTCCATATTCATGCAGACGACATCTCGCTTTTTCGGGTGATAAACCATCGTCCACCTCAGTTTCGAGTTCCTTGATCACGGCTTCATAAGGAAGGGTATGAGCTGGCTGGCTCAATGGGCTGGCCCCCGACCCAGAGATGGGGGGCACGTCGTGCTTCTCGTCTGGCATTGGAGATTACCCTCGGGTGAGTATATATTGGTGATGACTACCGAGCTATTTGCTCGTCTGACTCCTTTGTTCGGGGTCAACCACCGGATAGTTGGACAAAAGTGTAGCTCTCAGAGTGGGGAGGGATGTGGGACTTTAGTTTTCAAGCAAATGCTCAGATCAGAATCTGCTCGCGTGAGAAATACAGTGTATGGTGATCCCCAGCCTTGGCCTTTGACTTCTAAAGTTTGATCCCCAGGGTAGAGACGCACGTTGCACAATTCATTGGAAGAGAGGCAATGGAGTCTTGGCGCCAAGAGATTAGCCAGCCACCTCGTGCTTGATAGGCACCGGTTAGGAGTGGGGTTCCTCTAAACGGAGTTGAGCGGGGTCTAGAGTGCCAGCAATCACTGCATATGAGACCGTGTCTGCAAGCGCGGAACCGCCAAGATCTGACAGGGCAAAATTGTCAAGTTCCAGGATGTTGCGGTTACGGAATATTCCTTCTGGCCACTTTA